TGTCCTCATCTTGTACAGCAATTAACCACTAGGAAGAATGTATGCAATGTGTTAATTATTGAAACTGTCCTACCAATTTGGTTTGAAACTGTCTCATTGTTATTTGTTTCTCAATAAAATTATGGGGAAAAAAAGTAAAGCCATAGTAATATGCTGAGCTGCAAAAGGCTCAAGTTAACAACTTCTGCCATTGCCAGTCCTATGGATAACTCACTACTATTATGGACTACTGGACTATATTGGATTATTTTGCTGAATTCACATATTTAAAAATTTAAATGACAATGAAATAAGCTTCTCTGACAAAACTAAACAAAAAAGGGAGATACAAATGAACAACCATTTGGTATCTGTATATTCAAATAGGCTAGATATAGAGCTGCATTCTCTTAATTCAATAAATAAATAGAGATTTTTTCTAATAGTGTCTATGAACAGTATATCATGTCTGCATGTTGTACAATGAACAACCACTAAGACAACAATATGCAATGCATTAATTATTGAAACTGTGCTAGTAATTGGATTTGAAACTGTCTCATTGCTATTTGTTTTTCAATGAAATTATTTTTAAAATAATGTTCACCAACAAGGGTATTGGAAGACTCCTGTCAGCTCCCTGGCTAATGTGCCACTCCCAGGTGCTGTCACCCTCTGCTCTGTGCATCTTCTGCTAGTACAGACCAGGACTTCTCTATGCACTCCTCAGAAACAGACTATCTTTTTGATAATAAAAGTATTTCATAAGTATAATAATTATATATTTAACAATTCTAAAATATACATTAATCTATTTTACCATTCTAGGCAGATTTTACCTTGAGTTTGCTGCTGCTTCTTCCTTTTTATTTTGTAGCTCACTTAAGAGTCTTTCTAAAATCTTAGAGTCAATTTCAGACTTATTTTGTAAATATATTCTATTAAATAAGCATTTTCCTGAAATATAAACAGAATAATATTTTTTCAGCTATATCTAGAAATATATTTTTGAAATTATGAACAAAATTAATTCTGCCAATCTTTAAATACATTTTCCATTAAATATTTATCAAAAGAATCTAAATTGCTTAAAATTTTAATAGACTGTCTTAATCTTTATCAAAACAGTATATTAATATGGTATAATTATAACATGAAGAGACAGAACATTGTATTTTTCCCCAGGAAATTCTGATCTCAAATCAATTTCCTTAAGGGACAAAGTGACAGAATAATTAGGATTTTATATCTTTAAGGAACTTAATTTTCCTCAGTTTTACACATTGTTCATTAAGAAGTTACTACAATTGACTGTGGTGGGGAGATACACTCTCAGTTCCAGAAAACAATACCTGAGCCTGAGAGAATGCTAAACTAAACAGCACAGGACCAGGCCTTCCTCTTCTGTCCAACAGGAGCTACTGGAGAAGTATTTATACCTTAGGACAGCATAGAGTTTTCCATTCTATATTTTACCAAAAATATTATCAATAATAAAATTTCCAGTTTCAAATTTACTTGATAAATATTTACCAACCATTGTTTTCTGTGTCTGATAAATAGATTGCCAAATCTGGTACAATTCCTTTCTCAATTAAGACCATCCATAGTTCCTTTATAAGAGGACAGTTGTCCACAATCCATCCTCCAAATTTTGTAGCATCAGGAAACCTATTCTTCTTTTCTTCTACTACCTGTGAAAAAATTACACCATGATATTGCCATCATAGCCTGACAAGCTATACATTTTACCTAAATATGTCATTTTTGCAGATCTCAAATATCTTTTGAGTTTGGATCTTGGAAATTCTTTTAAAAAAGCATATTTTTAAAAAGAAATGAATTTAAAGCAATAAAATTCTATGTTTTAAAATTAATAGGCTGCTCGCCATGCCCAAGAACCTTCCCCAGATAGACCCCAGACCTGTAATGTGTGTGGGTCCATCTGCCTGCTCTCCATGCCCAAGACCTCTCCCCAGCCAGACCCCAGGACTTGTGTGTGTGTGTGTGTGTGTGTGACCATCTGCCTGCTTGCTGTGCCCAAGACCCCTCTCCAGCCAGACCCCAGACCCTGCACCAAGCCTCCTGTGGAATCTTGCAGCAGAACTCCCTGCAGAGAGGCTAGGAGCAAGACCCACCCAGCTAATCCAGGAGCTGAACATCTTGCTAGACTTGCACAGCAGGTGCACCTCTATAAGTTGCATCAGGAAGAAGCTGATCACAGAAGTGAACCAAAGCCAGGCACATCTGGACAAGTTCACAGTTGGTAGATCCAGACCCAGTAACCTGAGACACTTTACTGGATCCAGATCCATGGGAGTGTCCTTGCTTTTTTACTCTTGATCTACAAAAGGGACAACAGGTAACTGGGTAAATGAGTCTGCCTGGAAGACCCCAGGTATATCAAGAGGAGGAAATGAGACAGAATTTAGGGGAGCTAAATTAATATAAATTCCCAATTTAATATCTGCTTAGCTGCACAGACATGTTTGCTGTTATTGTCTAAAATAAAAACCCAGGAGACCAGTCCAGTCCAAGCCCAGGGGCATCATGGGTGAGAACCTCTTCCACCCCCTTGGAATTCCCCCCCACTCCCCAGTCACCCCCCACACCTGTCAAGTGAGAACATCTGCCATGTTCTCGGGACCCCCAGATCCAGCCCTAGCCCAGGCCTAGTGAGTATATGGGACATTTCCAGCTACCCTGTACCAGGGGGACTCTCCAGTCCATGCCCAGGTGCAGCATGGGTAAGACCCTCTTCCATCCCCTTGGGATCCCACACCACTCAGTCGCCCCCACTGCCACCCAGTGAGTGAGAATTTATGCCATATTCTTGGGATGCCCAGATCCAGCCCTAGCGCAGGCCCAGTGAGTATGTGGGAGAACTTCCTCTCTCCCCTACTCCACCTTGTCCCCTTCAGGCTCAGCTCAGTCCAGGCATACAGGCCTAGGGTAAAACTCTGAAGCTGCAGTCCCTGCAGAGGGAGTAGGGGGCAGAACCACCCAGGTAGTACAGGAGCAGAACAACTTGCCAGAGGGGCACAATAGGATCACTTCCAAGGGCAGCAGCAGGAAGGAGCTGAGCAAAGCAGCCAGACCCAAACCACGCATAGCTGGATAAATTCAAACTTTGTAGATCTGAAACTGAATTTCAGTAGGTGCTAAGGTTAAAACCTGCACCAAAGCACTACAATAAAGGTCAGAAGACAGTGCTATACAAAATGAGAAGGAGCAAAATGCAGTATCAGGTCAGGCCCCAGGCCCACAGATAACTAGTGCAGAGGACACTAACAGAACAAATTGGGAATCACACAGCTGATATCAATGAATCAACAGCTTTTGAAATAAACAAAACAACTGTAGAAAGTATAGAGGAACTCAGATTGGAAATGAAAAAAGAAATCCCTGAATTAATAGCATCTGCAGTAAAGAACCAAATGAGAAACAAATGGAGGAAACCCAGTGCCCAACAAGAACAAATGCAGAGAACACTAGCTCCGCTGAAATGTATGAATTAATGGAGTCGAAAGTAAATAAGTAACAGCAGAAAGTTACAAAGGACCTCAGAACAGAATTATTTTCTGAAGAAAAAAAAAAGAATTCTCTAAACTCATAGCATCTGAGGTAAAGAATCAGCTACAGAAACATAGGGCGGAAACATAATCTGAAAAAAATTCTGCAGTAAAACAATAAATAATTCCTTCTAAAGATGACATCGATAAAAAAATAGATGAGATTAGAAAAATGATAGATTCCTTGAATGAACAATACAGGAAGAAATGGATCTCATGGAGCAGCGTCAAAGAGATACAGAAGAACTTAAAATCTCAATCACAAGCTTGCAAAACTATTTGAGTGAAAGTGAAGACAGAGTTTCAGATTTTGAAGATGCTAGTGCAGATAGTGAAAAGGAAAGAAAAGATCTCTTAACACAAACTAGGATGCAGGACAAAATAATTCATCACTTTCAAGACGATGCAAAAATGAACAATGTGAGATTAATAGGCATCAATGAGAAAGAATGAGTCAATACAAATGACACTAAAAAATATGGGCAGAAGTAATAGCAGAAAACTTCCTAAATATGAGGAAACAAGCTGATATTCAGGTAACTCAAACCCAATTAAAAACACACTGAGACATATAATAGTCAAGAACCCAGAAATCCAACACAAGAATAATATACTGAAAGCCACTAGAGAAAAGAAGCAGATCACAATCAAAGGAAAACCCATCAGAATGATGGCTGACTATTCTTCACAAACCATGAAGACAAGAAGAGCAAGGATCAGAGTACAAGTACTCTATGAAAACAAATTCCAGCCCAACTATAACTTGCAAAACTCTCTCTTAAGTTTGATGGAGAAGTGAAATACATCCATTACAAAGAACAATTAAGAATTTCATGATTACAAAGCCAACACTACACAGGCTACTTAAAGATGTTCTTGGGAGGAACCAAAATGATCAGAACTCCATAAATGAGATCAGAAGTAACCAACTAAATAGGGCAAACAATTAAGCACAGGAGAAAAAAGACTAAACAACAACAGGTAAATAACAGGTCAGCTGTAAGTCAATACATCTCAATTATATCCATCAATCTAAATAGATTCAATTCACCAATTAAGAGAATTAGACTGGCAGAGTGGATTAGGAAATAAAATCCAAAAATATGCTGCTATAAAAGAAAAATATTTAATTCATAAAGAAATTCATAGGCTGAAAGTCAAAGGATGGAACACAGTACTATGTGCCACAGCACTTCAGAAAAAAGCAGGGATAGCAATCCTATTCTCAGACAGTCTCAACTTCAAACCAACAATGATCAAGTGAAATAAAGAAGGCCACTATATTCTGGTTAGGGGAAAATGCAAGAGGAAGAGATAACACTCATAAATATGTATGCACCAAACATGGGAGCACCAAACTATATAAAACAAACCTTAATGGACTTGAAAAACTTAATATCTAATATTACAATCTTAACAGGAGACCTTAAAACCCACTTATCGCAAAAAGATAGGTCAACCAGAAAAAATTAGCAAAGAAATAACAGAACTGAACCAGAGCTTGAAACAAATGGACATGGAGGACATACACAGAGTGTACCACCCAAACAGAGCTGAATACACATTTTTCTCAGCTGCACATGGGTCATTTTCTAAAATAGACCACATACTGGTCCATAGGTCATGCTTAAGTATATG